AACCCTAAACCAAAACCGTAAACCGTAAACCCTAAACCCTAAACCCTAAACCTAAACCCAAGCCTGTGCCGGCCTCAACTCGCTTGTCGACATCCCGAAGCTGCCTTCCAAGGCCTCACTTGGAGGTTCATGGGTGAGTTTTCAGTAGGGTTTAGGGTTTAGGGTTTAGGGTTTAGGGTTTAGAGTAGTACTTGGAGGATCGTGGGACTTAGTAAGTAAGGTTATAAGTCCCTTAATTGGGGTTATAAGTCTAGTTACCCTAATTATAACCCTACTTACTAAGTCCCATGACCCTTTAAGTAAAGCAGCATAGCTATCGCTCTTCAGGGGTTCAGGGGTTTTTGCGGGCTTAGAATTTAGAAGTTTAGAGTTTAGGGGTTGCGGGGTTTACGGGCTCAGATTGAGCGTGGAGTCTCCATGCGCCAACAAAACACATCCCAGAGAGACTACCTCAGGACCCCAAACCTAGAAAGAAAGCCCAACGCCAATTGGTTCAGGGTTTTCTGCTAACCGACTAGTTCAGGAATATTCTTCTCAACATTGGAGTAGTCGACGGCCAAAACTGCGAAGCTGAGCCAAGCTAACCCCTTGTAAGGTCCAGATATCGAGGATATGCAGTACGGATGCTGCAGCATAAAGCCCTATACCCTGAACCCTAAACCCCACAACCCCAACCGGCTCTGGAAGCACTGAACAAAAAGTTGCGCAAACAAAACTCGGAAAGCCTTAAACCCGAACCCTTCAACCCTAAACCCTAAACCTACCCTACGAATCCCCTTGAAAGGGCCCTGATAGTACCCTGAAAAGGGCCCTTAAGGTACAGCTTTTGCTTGGCTGAGCTGCGCCAAGCATCCCGGAGGCGCTGCTGCGCATCCAGCTTGGCGGCCTGAGGGTCCGTCAGCTTAGGGTTTAGGGTTTAGGGTTTAGGGTTTAGGGTTTAGGGTTTAGGGTTTAGGATTTGGGATTTAGGGTTTAGGGTTTCTTGGTGTTGCCAGGGTTGTCGGAAGTTTAGGGTTGTGGGCTTTAGGGTCAGGGTGTGGGGTTTTCTGGGGTTGGTATTGTTGCGGTTTGGGGTTTAGGGATGAGGGTTCAGGTTTTGGCCATGCTGCTAGAAGTGTGTTCATTTAAAGTTGGATGGTGGCCTGAAGGGACCGTATTCGATGTTGTCATGTGATCTTTCTTACGGGTGTTTGAGGGTTGGAAGGCGTGCAAGGCTGGCTTCGGATTTCGCAGGGAATCGCAATTTTTTTCGTGTTTGAAAGGGTTTTGGGTAAGGGCAGTGCACCGAAAATCACCGAAGCCAACACTCGACCCAAACAAGCCCCTAAAGGAACCCCTTCATTTCAAGGAGCCAACCAACGCGAACTGTCAAGGTTTCTTGAGCCCTAATTAGACCTTCATGCCTCGAACCGAGAAACTGAAGTCAAAACCCCCCGAAGCCGAATGAAAATCCACCAAGATGACCTAAATCGAGGCAATTCGAGAATTACCAACGTTCTTACGCATATTACTGCGACAACGACAAGCAGCCTGACTCTCAGAACAACGCTCCTTCTCAATCGTTTGCATACCCACATGCACATATGCATGTATGTATATTGTATCTATGTATGTATACCTGTGCACATAATTGTTGTACCACCCTAAACCTTAAACCCTAAACTACAAAACCCTGAACCCTAAACCTTAAACCCTAAAACCCGAAGCCCCAAAACCGAACCCCCGACCTGGTGCTGCTGGTTCTGCCGGACGATATCCTGCGCTTCAAGCTCCAACATCGTAGCCTGCCGGTTTGGGGCTCAGGGGGTTTGGGTGGGGTTCTGGGTTGCAGGGACTTAGGGTTGATCTCCAGGATTTAGGGCTTAGGACGATCTGTCTATGTAGATCATGGATGTTATCGTTTCGGGTGTGCTGTATTTCGATTTCGGGCGTTTCGGGGTTGGCGCGACTTTCTGGGGCGAACGTGCTTAATCCTTGAAAGATCGACGGGCTCAGGCAGGCCAAATCTTGAGTTTCAGGGCTTCTGCTTATGATTTGGGAGTCATTAGACGTGAGTTTAGGGCTAAGGCTTTTTGTGCCCTGAGAGCTTTGATTGAGGCAACCTCGAAACCCTAAGCCCTGAACCCATAATTGCTGAACAACCACAAAAACAACCACCACCACAACCACAACAACAACAGTTTTTCAATTGAACGCTGCGCGAAAGTGCTCTGCGCTTGGCTGGCGAACTACCTGTCAGGCACTCATGAGAGACTTGCTGCAAGCTTATTTGATGCTCAGGTTTGAGATTGGAAACATCGTTGCAGCATGATTTACATTGTTACCAGCGCGAAAAAGTTCATCATCCGACACGCTCAGTGTGAATCATTGTGTGCAATACTCACGAACTGGTCTTCGAAGTACCGTCTCCAGGAGTTCCCGTTTAAGAACGGCCCACACAAGGTAACTCTTGACTTCCAGCGATGGACCGTAAGCCGGGCAGGGATTCGCCGAATGCTGCACCTGAGGAGAGCCAAGGCTCCTGCTTGGTTTGTGATCCGTTCTGCTGACGAGCCAACTCTTTTGCACGCAGCCGGCACGAGTCAAACTGTGACAACGGCATCAAAAATATTGAGGCGGAGCCGCTGCAGCACACGTGCTGATGCCCTAGCCCTCGGTGGCACTGTAAAAGCGATGCCAAGCATGGCGAGCGGAAGGGCATCGTAATGTAGAAGGACGGCATTGCCAGGCTGTGCCCGTGACAAAGGAAAGTGCAAAGCTGTGCTAGGAATTGTTCAATAACGGCGATACCCTTGCCGTCGCCGTTGGTCCTGGCCGATGTTGTAATCCTCATCGTCATCGCTACCAGTCCCAGGATTGCCAGGACCAGCCATCTGCAGGAGGGCTCGCTCCCGAAGATGAGGATGCCGCATCGTTGGAGCGCTTGCCACCATGATTGTACTCCGCCCAATACTGTTGAGAGCGCTTCTGTCGGCCCGTAACAGCCCCTATGTGCGAGGAGCAGCAGAGTTGTGAATCATCCGCACCCTCTCTGGCCAGCTCTTCTTCGGGTACTCACATTCGTGCATGCGAGTATACAACCCTGCCGCCAATGGCCGCAGCATCGTAAAATGTGACTACGGTTGTGGCCACCAGGTCAAAGTCCTCGTAGGTCGGAAAGAGCACCTCCATGTCCTTGTGTTGCCACATTTTGGAGAAAAGGGCTCCGACTAGGCCACGGATCGGGTGGGAGTTTCCAGCTCCTTGTATGCGGCGCCGAACCCCCGTGGTAATAGTGAACAACAACAACAACAACAACCACAACCACAACCACAACCACAACCACAACCACAACCACAACCACAACCACAACCACAACCACAAACCACAAACCACAAACCACAACCACAACCACAACAGCAACAACATCTACGACGACGACCACGACGACGACGATGACGACGACGACTATCACAATTACCGGAACAGCAACTATTACCAACAACAACAACCACAACCAAAATGATGACGACGACGATGATGTTGATGATGAAGAAGATGACGAAAATGAGGACGATGATGATGATGGTGATGACGATGATGATGATGATGATGATGATGATGAAGTTGCTGCTGGTGATGATGATGCTGATGACGATGATGACGATGATGATGATGCTGATGGTGAAGATGATGTTGATGATGATGACGATGATGATGATGAGGATGATGACGATAATGATGATGATGGTGATGATGATGATGGTGATGATGATGGTGCTGATGTTGATCGTGGTGTTGATGATAGTGGAGATGATGGTGATGATGATTCGTACAAATGCTGAAGGTGCTCCTGATGAGCACGGTGGTGCTGACGATGATACTGCAGAATAATCATTGCCATGATACTAACAATAGCAACAACGAAAAGAATAGTGATAGCAACAACACTAAAATCAAGTCCCGTGGCAATTTCAAAAGCAACAACTACTGTATAAACAGCATTGCGATAGCTCGAGTAAACGAAAACACAGTAGCCATCGCAAACCGAATGTGGGGACCAGCCTGCATTCCATACCAACCAAAACCAAACATGATCAGCACAATCATGGCGAGAAAAAAATACTAACACCAAGCCTCTTCCTCCCGCTGCTGCCGGCGACTCGCCTCGCGCTTTTGGCGCCTCACCTCAGGTCCAGGTTGAAAGGGCTCGAAGGGTTTAAGCGTGTTTTGCAGCTTTTGAGCAGTTCAACCACGGGCCTTTAGAAGGGTCTGGAAGCTTTGGCTCTTCCAGGGTGTTGATTTCCCAGTGGCAGGTGGTGCCGGCGGTGCCTTAGACAAGCTCATGAAACCCTGACGTGACGAAGGCCAGAATACCAATCGCAGCGAACTCACACCCGAAGGATGAAGATGAAAGAGACTTTCTTGCAGGCATCCTAGTAGCTACAAAGTAGCTGTTCCTCCCGAAGACACCTGACAAATCAAAGTAAGACACAGCCCTCTTCAAATCCTTTAAGGCACCTAAACCGTATAGGCGCCTCGATCTGCGAAGTGAGGCAGCTGTGCAGCTCGGATCGGGCCTCCCATTCCCAAGTCCCGAAGCTGGATGTCTTCGCTTGTGTTCTTTTCATTATATATATATATATGTATAGACACACACACAATATCTGTATATGTATGTATGTATGTATGTATGTATGTATGTATGTATGTATGTATGTATGTATGTATGTATGTATGTATGTAGTAATATATATATATATATATATATGCATATATGTATAATATCGTTCAGGGTTTAGGGTTAAATCTTCCACTTGTGAGGCGCTCTGCCACAAAAAAGGACTGAACGCTTAATCGTCTTCTTCATAGCCCGAAACCTCCGAAGTCCCATGTGGGTAGTTCTCTAAATTAGGGCCCCTGTTTTTAGGTCCCCAAATATAGTACAGCACCCCTATAAAGAACGACCCCAAAAGGGACCTTAGTTTAGAGAACTACCCGTACCTCTCAGCCCAAGCCTTGATCCCTGCATTCCCCAACCCCCCAACCTAAACCCTAAACCCTAAACCGCCATTCGCTCGAAAGGCCTCCATGGTACCCAGCACGGTAGCAGGTCTTGGCCGGCCTTTTTTGAGAGCCGGGGGGTTTAGGGTTTAGGGTTTAGGGCGGTGGAAGGCGGGGGTTTGTCAGTCTTGTTGCGCTGCTTTCATGACTGGCAGAATGTTGAAGACATGGCTCTTCCTGATGTTTTTTCGAGAACCATGACGATTTTGGTTGTTCAATTAATGGTTGCTAGTGTTGGCAGCAATAGTGATGGAGGAATAGAGATAGCAAGAGGGAGGTGGTAGTTGTTATTGTAGTTGAAGTAGTAGCAGCAATAGCAGCAGCAGGAGGAGGACTAGTAGCAGCAGCAGCAGCAGCAGCAGTAGCAGCAGCAACAGCAGCAGCAGGAG